CTTCAGTCTATACTATCCCACACAGCATAGCTCCAGTCTATACTAGCCAATTCAGCATAAATCTGGTCTATATTATCATAGCTCACTAAGTACTATCAATTCTATGTATTCTAGTTTGGTTAGTTTTACATGGTTCAACTCTGCAGTAATGATCTGTTTCATCATCTAGAAAATGCTACTAACGACATATTAAGAAAGAGCTCACCAAGAACAGAAGAAATTTGTAGATTGTACTAATTTCCGTTGAGATATTTTGTGTACACCTGCAAAGCTTAGGGAAATTCTGTTTGGTCTACACAGGTAAGACTTAAATAATGAGGTCGGAGCTTTTTTTGGAAAGTTAAGCACCATTGTATACGTCAATCCAGAACAAAGTGTAAAATATCTACTAAAATAAACTGTTTAATTTTTCTATTGCAGATTAAATTTTTTAACACATGCTGATGTTGAAATGTGATATGAAAAAGAAATTCACATTTTGATAATTAAGACAGTTCAGACTCAATTTTTAGGGTGCTTTTCTATAAGGTGCAAAAATATAGTTTTCTAGATAAGAAATATGAAAATAGAGAAAGACATATTATTGAAATCTTTACTTGGTATCAGTGAAAATTTGCATCTAGCTTTTGAAAGTGACACTATTTCTTTGAGAAAAAGCCAATGTGAAATACCAGTGCAGGTGCATAAGTGAAGCTCCAGGTGATCCAAGCCTTTGATTGAAGTTGGGTATAGAGTCCAAGCCTTTGAATGATCAAGACAGCAGTGTTGATAATTCATCAAAGCAGGTGCAGAGTTGGCTCTCTAATCACAAAGCTAGCTTGCTGCTGGCCAGCTGACTACCACTATGCCTAAGGCGTGCGGTGAGTACACAAAATCGCTGTGAAAACACACATGCATTACCTATCTTACCATCCGTCGGCTGGGACACTTCTGGCTTCTGCTCCTCCTCCTTTGACTTCCATACCAACTTAAGGAGTTTCTCTCCCACAGTAGAAGATGGTTGTGCCACCTGTTCCTCTGGTGACATCTCCCCACCCTCATTGTCCTCTGGCTTGGTAGGCATGGCGCAGTGATTGAGCAGGTTTTCATGGAAAGTCACCAGTCTGTCCTTCAGGTCTTCTCGGCACGGACAAGGCATGTTAGGGTCAGCATCTTCCTCAGTCTTGAAGGCCAGCAAGTTCCTCATCTAATGGAGTCAAACGCCCAGTAAAGACAAAGATATGTTAAGAGCTACACGTACAAGCTTCAGATGTTTATAGAATACAGACCCTGGTTTATCCATGTTTCTGCTTCAAACAATACAACCATAAAACCTACAGGTGATTAAGATTTATTATGTGATATCAATGCTCAGCCTGTGGTCAGCATAATTGACAACTTTGTATGCTGTCTAGGAAACAAATTGGGGAATATATTTTTTGTTTTGTTTAAGGCTAAACTTCTGTATCTTTCAAGATAGCTCAATGAAATGTTGAGGATAAATGTAGGATGGCAAGGAGGTGTATCGCAAACCACAATTGGATCTGTAAACTCAAGGTCAAAGTCACATTGAAGTCAATGGTCAAATAAATTCTCTGGGCCATAACTTTTAAATTTCTGAAGATAACTCAATCAAATTTTTAAATTTATCAAATGTGTAGGATGGCTAGAGAGTTTGTCTTGTACCACAACTGATTCAATAAGCACAAGGTCAAGGTCACTTATGTGACCTTATTAGACGGGTTTTAACACTACATGTATATATTTGTATATTACTATATTTATACCGACAAGTAAAGCACATAACATCCAGTAAGCAATGTGTAATGAATGCACCTTTATCTTTATTCCAGTATTAGTGACATTTTCTGGGAGCATTCTAATTTTCTTTTTCCTACCTGTTCATGAGGTGGACATCGGAACTCTTTGGTGATCCTGGCTGTTACAGCAGATGACAGATTGGACTGTTTGATTTCCTGGTATCGCCTCAGCTGATCCTGTACAATACCAGGCAGTAGTTTTCATTAGTCTAACATAAGTATCACTTCTACATAAAAAGCCAACGCTAAAGAGATCTCAGCTTCATTTTTATAAGTCAACCAATAACAACTCAATTTAATTCAAGTATTTAAATTGCAATTTCACTTTTTTTTTCTTTAAACCACTGACCAAAATTCAGTATATGGAGATTAGAATAAAATTGCCATAAAAGCTGCTGCTATGATTTGATTTGGTCATACTAACGTTTTGACAGTCCCCTACAAACTGGTCTGAGAAGGAGATGATGGACTCCACTCTGTGTCTCAGCTGAAGGTTACACAGGTGCTGGAGGATCCTACACATCTGTAGCAACACAAACATAATAGGTAAAATTACAGAAGAACATTGTGAGAGAAATCATTGTTTTATAAATTTAATTATTTATCTTACCTAAAACTTTCCTTCGTACTTCGAACACCCAGAAAATACTATTTCTACTCTTACATCTATAACTACCTATAATCCAATGTTACTCTTATATTACCTCTTATTACCCATAATCCAATGTTACTCT